CAATTCCAGTTCTAGCAGGGAGAAACTCTAGTCCAGAGGGTGATTAGAGCTTTCACATTATATGGTTCCTGATTATAAGCTCATGTAGATAGACATTTGCCAACCAAATGCAAAGGAAACCTGTTCTCACTGAATAGTCGGGCACACTGAACAAAAACCTGCTAAATGGTAAGTGCCATTTAACTATAGCCATATAAGGCCACAAAGCACAGGATTACCTCTGACAGAATGTATATTCCTTTCTACACAGCCTGATTATAAAGACAAGACACTGATCTTCTTAGCTGTGGACCCTTCCCCTAGACAAGCAGACCTTATACAGGTAAATCTCAGAGAAATCTAATGGAAGCTTTGCCAGATTGCAATCTCCATATACAATTTTGGTCTGGATTCAGTCTCTGCCCATGTCCCAGTCACCATGAACAGAACCAATTGTTCCAGCAAGGCTTGAAAAACCAGCTAATGTTTGTTTATCCTTTCCTATGCTCATTTGTCATCCTGAACCTTTGATAGGCTCTCATCTTTCTGTCCCAATGGAGTACTGGAACAGATTTCACTCTTGCCTTATATGGGGATGACTTGGAGACAATGCCTCATGTGCTTGCAAGTAGCTCACAGCAGTTGAATGAGGATGTATACACTTGATGCCTGCTTATCTCACCATCAGATTCTCTTTTCTCTGTAGTCTTCAAATTAGTGTGCTTAGTTTTGTGACTTATCATTGGTACCTCATTGATCAAGTATGCAGTTCTGAAGAAATATTCTTGCAGGACGATAAATGTGTTATCAGTGTCTAAATGTGAGTGTCTCGTCCTAAATTAAGATGCTCACCTTGCCTCATGAGAGGACTGGCGCTGAGAATGACACTTTTCCATAATCTAATTGGCTGTAAGATAAAAGTATTGAGTTGTTCAGTCACTGCTATAGTATTTAATAAATGATGTTTTGTAAAATATGTTTGTAGTTGGTCTGATTTTTGTAGGATGATAATGAACGTCTGACTACTCAATCTAAAAATACATACCAATGAAGCAAAACATTGGAGTTAATGAAAATGTTGTGGTTACAGTACCAATAAAATACAGCTACCTTCATATATTGCCACAAAATCAAGATAACTCAGCCCTCCAACTGGAAATCCTATTTTCTCAATTAGCAGATTAAACTGGTCATCATCCATAGGCATTCCAATATCATCTAACAACTGTCAGAGAGAGAAAAGAAAAATAAGATTTGGGGCAGACATTATTGAAACATGTTTACATAGCACTAAATTCAACAAGAAACAAATATTCAGCTTCCTCTCACTGAAATAAAAAAGGACAAGTTGTGGATATTGGCTGCCCCATTTCTTTCTGTCTCAAGTTCAAAACCCTGACATCTGAGAATCTGCCCTCTAAGAAAAGGCTGCAACATTCAGTGAATTAATGGAATGCACCACCAATTAAACTATGTTTGGCTGAATTAAAAGGGTTCCCTGATTAATTGAGCAGCATATGTTACAACTTCAGAACTGTTTTAATACAATATGAAATATAATGCCTTTTCTATGGCAAAGCTTGCTGTGACGTGTACATCTTGCAAAGGAAGTATTTTTAATCCAACCTCATCTTTAAGTATTTGCAAAATTATGCAGATTTCAATCAACAACTTTACTGAATACAAATCATAGAATGATTGAATTGGAAGGGGCCTATAAGGCCATAAATTCCAAACCTCTGCTCAATGCAGGAATCCAGTTAATTAGCTAAGGCTCTAATCTGTTGCACACACTGAACTGTAAGCTCCATTGAAGTCAATAAGACTTACTTCTGAATTAACCCATAATGATTCCACCATAATGTTTCTTTGGTGCCCTTGTCTCACAAGTTTTCTTCCTCAGCTCCCGAGTTCAAACACTAGAGCCCATGATAGCACTCTAGCTTTTGCCCGCACTTAAAACTATGTTTATAAAAAGAAACCACTATAGAAGCAAGTTAAAGCTAATCATGCTTAGTGATACTCTGTCTAGTTCAATAATAATTAATTATTCCTGTATTTCTAATTTAAGTATATTACTTTCTCCATGTACTGTATATTGTTGCCTTTTTGTAATCACTTCAATGCTTATTATTCTCGTTGTTCTATCCTATTCTGCTCTGGAATTTAAAAGAAAAAAGGATGTGTTGCCTGGCTGACTGGCATAAAAATGCAAAAAAAGTGAGAATGTACTAATTAGCAAATTATCACTCTTTTCAGTAGATTTTAAAAGCTTCTGAAAAGAGATTAGCAGCTTTGTGCTTTAGCTGAGGCTACTGCTATCAGATCGAATGCTTAATTCTACAGCTACAGGAGCAGAATATATGAAGAGAGCCATCATAAATACAACAAAGAATAAGTTTTTTTTGCCAATAGTATTTGGAGTTCCATGTGCTGCTCTGTGATAGAGTTTCCATGGAACTGAGCTCTCACAGCAGCAGGGCTTCGACTAGAACCACATATGTGAGGCTGTTCCTGTCACTGAAATCAGTGGCTAAAGCTTGCATATCCAGTTGTTTCATGTGTATAAATATATCCTGAATCCGGTTACTGGTGTGCAGTAATAATCTGTTATTATTAAGGACGTGTCCTTCAGATCTAGAGCCAATAGTACTTAAGTGGGATTTCTATCAAGCCTATGCAAAGGCCCAGTTTCTACATCAAAACTGTGGTACAGCTTCAGCTTCCAATTTGAAAGGCAAAGGGACAATTGCAATGGGATTTAAGTAGCCTAACAATGCACAGAAGTGTAGCCAGGATTCCGTTAGTCAGGTTTTGTCTCATCACGCAGAGAGGCTCCAAGACTGTGTGAGGGAAGACATTTTATTAGTCCACCTAATCCCTGCAGTACTGAGAAGAGTACATAATTAATTAATCCATTAATCTGAACGATCAACAGATCAGATGAGAGAAGAGTACTTTGCTACAAAATATTGGAAGCACAGGGATACAGAAAACTTGGCGGAGTGTTGCCACTCTTTGAAATGAAACAAATCAAGATGTCAGTCAGACCTTGCTGAAGAAATCAAGTTACAGATCTCTACCCCATTCTCCAGCATTTCTTTGTTGAAAGAACTTTGAATTCAGGTTGCCATTGTCATCTGCCCCTTCAAACAGCCCAGGACCCCAAAGCCATGCTATTGGTTACAGATGCCTAACTATAATTGGGCACTTTACCTCTCACAGAACGCTGCACAGAAAGCTGCTTTGGAAGATCTGGGACATTTTTTTAAAAAACTATTTTTATGCAGTGGCCTGATTTTTAGGGAAGAGGACAGTCTAATTAGACATGTCCTGGCCCCTGGGCATGTCTTGTATGATTGTTCAGATCCTGGCTATGGTATTGTCTGCCCTAGAATAAGGTTGCTGCACTGCCTGTCATACACCTGTGGTGCCACACCCACACCAGTGTTAGATAAATGTCTTGCTTTTTTGCTTTTTGCTTTTAAAATTTAACTGGGACTGCAACATTGGGGTGGTTGTCAAGACCTTGACACACTGCAACACAGGAATGGTGGATTGTGTTTGCTCCGGTGGGTCACATTTTGCGTAGGCTTGGGCTACAAGGTGAAGGAGATGGCTCTTTGGTAGGTACAGCAAAAATATAAGTGGTTCTTGCTAAATAATACGAATAGCTTAATAGGGAGCACGAAAATATGATTCTTTTTATTTCACTGTTTTTGCAAAGAGTTTCATTTGAGCTCCTGCCAGCTTGGGATGCATGTGGAACAATGCCAGTTCCGGCAGCACAGGCAAAGATCTACACTGAAATGGCATTGGAAATCTCAACACAGACCAATTTATATCGGTTTACAAGATGACCTCCCCAACCCAGAAAATTAAATAGATTAACCTTTCGGAAATCAGGTTTACTCAGTTTCCCGCTGGCTTGTTTGTTGTGTGCAAGAAAGGCATCTCTAAGGCTTGTTTCCTGCTGTAGGATACCATCTCTCAACCTTTCAATTACTTCGTCAACAGTTCTATTCTTGGTGCATTTGACGCCATTGTCTTCAATCTGTTTCATTCTAAAATTGGAAGATGGGCAATGAAGAGAGACATCTTAAATATGGTACTATGAAATATTTGATTAAACATTAATGATCTGCACTGTTGCAATTATAGAGAGCACATGTACATTATAAGCATTCGTTAAGCAGCAGTTGTTTATAAAACTATAATGAACAACTCCTCAATTTTCAAGTGCCACATATTCAATTTGAAAAGAGGACTATTGTAGAGAGAACCATGATAAATCAGTACACTTTGGCATTTACTGTGTAAGTGTACACTTGGAGGTGCACACACATGTATCCGTTCCCACCATTCTATCAAAATGTGATGCGAGCAAGAACTCCAAATACAGGCAGACAGGGCAGGCTGAATGTTTAATTGTCAGTTGGGATTTTGAATATGTTTTTTCTTCCCTTTGCTGATGTCCCAAGGTTCAGCTTTTTGATTTCTCCTTTATACATGAATCAATGTTATTCACTTCTGTGAAGACTAAAACATGGGATTTACAATCGGCCCCTTCCTTCTTAAAGCTGGTGATCCTGTTGACACTGACAATGTAACGTTCTGTTCCAAGGATTCTTGCAAATTTAAACCAGCTCTTCAAGAGGCAGCCCCAACAGAACTAGGAGTCACTGAAAGAAACTGATTGTCAGTAGACTCAGGACAGGACAGAAAGAACACCAATAACGTGTAAGTTAATTACTGCACAGTATGGTGATAACCTGTGGTTTGGATGGATCAAAAAGAGATGAGTAAAGGAATTCAGGAAAACCAAGCCCATGAATGGCTACTTAGCTACAATAGCTAGATGTAATACTTGAATAACAGCTGCTGCAGATAAAAATAGAACAAGCCAATTGCCTCTGGAGAGGTAAGAAGTTCTGTGTAACCTAAAAATGTCACCAAGAGTGAATGTGGAAGTTCGTCTTGAGGCAAAACTCCATGGGAATGTCAAGGGAAGCCTAAATTTTGACAAAGACAAAAAATAAAAAATAAAAATAAAAAAAATCACAGGAGGGTTTTGCTTATCCCTTAAATGTGTTTCTAAATCTTTACCAGGGAATGGTATACATAAGCAATAGCATGTATAATACCTCTCTGAAAGATCCACCTGTTTTTTTCCCTCTCTCTGTTGGCTTCCTTGGGAAGGAGGCATGCTGGCAGTGGCAGTTAATTCTTTTGGCAAATCAGCAACTCCTAAGCTGTGTAACAGCATCCTGTATAGGACTCCTTCTGTAGTATCATCTTGATATTTCTGATATAATCTGGATGAAACATAAGCAACATAATTATCATGACTTTCAGGATAAATAGAATATGTATCATAGAATCAACCTCCTTTCTCCAAATTTGGTGTGTCTCTCCGTCTGTCTGTCTGTGTATTCAACTACCTTGAGGTAATGCCCAAGGTATGTTATGCAATGGCTAGATAAATGCTACCAGTTATGACTATTATTGATTCAGAAAATCAAAGACCAAACATTGATTGATTGCTAGTGCTCAAACCAATGGCCACTTCTCTTACCTATTTTAAGCAGAAATACTCATGTTTGTGAAAAGTGTTTCTTACACTGTATGTTTTATATGAGAAGACTAGGAGGGGAAATAATTTTGCAGTAGTGATCTCCACCTTTGTGGTTGATGCAAAGATTATCACTTTGAATAGAAAAAAACAGATGAAATAGAATTTCATCCAATAAAAACTTCTTAAAATTTGTAACTTGATTCTTCAGTCTAAATGTCATCTGCCAGAGAGCCATCTGCAACAGGCATGCCAATCACTCTACCTCCATGGAAGACAGCATTGTCGTGATTGCTGGAAGAGAAAGAGACACTGGAATCCAATTAAAACAGAAGCCTCACCCAAGCAAAGGGCCATTCTGAGTTGATACGAATTTTATGCCAAGATACAGGAAACTCATAAAATGATTTGTTCTTTTTATCAGTGGTGAATATGTCCTCTTAAAGGCAGTGTTTCTAAATGTGCAACTTAAATCTTCCTGTCTGATCACAAAACTTCCTGCATGCATTTGACAGTATTGTATCCAATTTCAGTGTGTTTAAAGGCGTCATGTCAACTTGACATGTGAAAATACTGCAACTTGAATCTGGAATCCCTTGTCAGTTCAGCGTTTGTGAATGAACACTGCCATCCACTGTTCCTTGGAGTAATCTGATTAATCTTGACAAAGACAAACAAATTAAAGTGCAGATAGACAGATATAAGTAGACAGAAGGGAAAAAAACAGAATTGGAGTGGCTGTTGTTTGCACCTAACAGGGAAGAATATGCATATAGTAAGCATATTTAAATCATAACTATCTCTGAGGAGAAGTCCCTGAGAAGTCTCTTTATTTCCTCTGGAGTATGTCACACATCAATGAGAGCTTCATCCTATGTATATTCTGATTAGCAGAATGAATACAGCTAAACCAAGTTTCATAAAAGTCATATACACCTTTATGTTACTCAACTGTTTTTATTCAGTTTTTTCTATGAAGGCTATACTCTGCATCGTTCATCTGTAGCTTTCCTGGACAATTCACAATTTAACTTCCAGGGGGAAGGGAGGTAATTCCAAAGGATGTATAAACAGCTTTTATTGGGCCTTTGGCCTAATAAAATTTGTATTGCACATAAAAAGCTTTACAAATCCATATGTGTCAAGTCTGTATCATGTTCTTCAAACAAAGGTTAAAAAAATCTGAAGTTGGAGTTTGGTCAATTAGCTGTTTTCTTATCTTCTCCCATTCTTAGAATAACTTTGTTGAGAAAGATTTCATGACTTCATAATCCCACCACATGTGGAAAAATGTGCCCTGTTGTTACAGCCCTGCCAACATAGTCAGTTAATTGAATGATACATATGGCTAAATAGCAGTGATGTTCAGTACCATCTGTGTATTAGCTCCATTTCATTTCAAAGTATTTTTGAAAATTTATTTAACTGAATTATTTGTTTGAATCATTCTCCAGTGTTGTAGTTTTACAGTAATGACCAGAAGATCTTGTTGCCATACTTGCTTTTAATTTTCTGCACTGAAATACCAAGCTTTTTCAGTGGCATCCAGATTGTAAAATTTTATTTTAAAACCATTTACTTATTTGGTTATTAACTATAGGTTTCAATAAGAAATACATGTTTTTACAAATTTGGATCCTATTTATATTTGGTTTTATAATTTCTCTTCTGTTTGAAGAATCAGAAATCCACATTGAATCATGCAAGAGGGAAAGATGGGATATCAATTTTATATGTGTGTTAATCCATACAAGTATTTACCATATTTTTCCGTGTATAAAATGACAATTTTCCATAAAACAATTAGAAGAAAAATTGAGGGTTATTTTATACACGGTAGTAAGGGGGGAGGGGTCAAAGTGCTTTGATCCCTGCTTTCCCCCTCCACTTTTGCACCCCCTTCACTTTCTTCGCAAAAAGTAGAGGGGGAAAGCAGCTTTTTGCAAAGAAAGTGGACAGGGAAAGCACTTTCCTTGCAAGAGGGTGGAGGGGGAAAACGATTCCTTCTCAGGAGGCCTGGGTTTGAATTGTCACTTAGTCATGGAAGCTCACTGGGGGAGTGGAACTGGTAAAAACTACTCCTTCAATATCTCAGTTACCGTTAAAGCCCTAGTAGGATCGCTATAAGCTTGGTTCCAAGTTGACAGTATGTAACTAACTATATAATGTACTTTTCAGAACCTCAGGGTTTTTACTCTTCATCTATGAAATAATGTCTCATTTTTGCCACTTTTTGATACATCCTTCTGAGAGAGTAATGGTTAGTATGTAAAACAAGGGGAAAAAATTTTGTAACACAGTCAACAATAGGTACCATTCGTATCCATTATAGTTTTAGCTTAGCCCAAATTTTCAAATTCATTTGGTTAGGGAGTTAAACTTTTGTTTCATCATTAGCTTCCAGTTTGTGGCAATATGTATTCCTAAATATTTCAGTGACTGTGAGCAAATAGATATTCTTATACTTTTGTTTTTACTGTCTATATGAAGTTTAATATAACAAATCTGCAATATGAAAATCAATCCATCCATCCATCCATCAATCAATTAGAGTCCTGTTGTGTTTCCCTATCCAGTAACCAGTTGTAGGCCTCTCATTTATTTCTGTTTTTAGTTTTTTTTAAGAAGCAAAGTCAAAGTGGCAGCAAATGAATGGATTACATTTTGTTTATTTTTTTTTTAAAGATACTTGTAATGTCTAGGTTTGAATGGGTTCTGAACTCTGTCTTGTGAACTGTTCATGTTCGACAGTAAAAATTACATTCCTAACATTGGTCATTCCAAAAAGCTGAATCAGCATAATGGCTGCTTATCACACTATGCATGATAATTGACTTAATGATTACTGGGAAGTTTTGTGAATGGCCAATGTTAATAACCTAATTGTCTTTGTCAGTACTTGCTTCATCTCATTTGTCTCTAACCTAGCTCTCCAAAATTATACTCTGATTCTGAGGCACATTTCATGTGTCCGATCAAGCATAAGCGGAACTCCATAGTTTTCCACGTGCCACAGGACTTGAGTTTTCTAGGAAGTCTGGAACTGGGTCTGTAACATGGAAGGGAAAGCTATGACCAGCAGATTTAAATTTTGTGTCTGTGGGTAGACTTGACTAATTCAGATTGCAGGATGAGGAAGAAATTACATTGTTACACACAATCAACATGTTTTTCAAAGCAAAACTTGTGAGTACCAATCTAGCATATCTGTGAGAAGAGATGTCAGCCAACTTCTATGTACTAGTTTCCTTTATGAAGGTTTTGAATATATTGCAGCAGTTACACACACAATTCTTCCACCTGCAGCCTAAAATAGTACAGTACTTTTAATAGATATAGCACATGAAACTTGTTGATAGTATGTTGTAGAATTTTCCTTCTTGAGAATTTTGGTCTTTATGTTTTTTAGAGCAAACGAAAATATATGATTAGGGAGAAACATTTTTAAACTGCTATTAATATGTGTTGGTTTTATAATAGGGATGGGTCTTTTGTGTTAAAATGAAAGAAAAAACTTGAAAGAGGCTCCTTTCACTTTTGTTCTGCTGATTCCTGAAAGAGAGAGTCTAAAACACAAATGATTTCTATTAATGAAAGCAGGGTAAGCAGAAGTTTCATGGTTTTTTGTGTTATTCTCTCTCATTTAACCTTTCTTTCACACTTTGTTTATCAAATTCCCAAGGAAATTTGTCATCCTAACTTTATGAGAGCTGCTTTCAGCAGCCAATCAGAATGTCTAGAAGTGGTGAAGCAGAAATTTATTAAGGATTGGTTGGAACCTAATTGTTCCTTCTGGGTATGTGAGCTTCTGGTGCCCTCCATTGTGGATTGTGGTGCCTGGCTTCTTGTCCCTATACCTCTATTTTAAATCAAAACAACCCTTCACTTCTATAGGAGGACTATGATGAATAAAGTCCTTGTATTCTCTTTCTGAGACCTAGGAAGTCAGAACTGAGAAAATGAGTTTTCCTTACTTTGCCCATCCCAGAGCCAACACAGCAGGCATACTCTCATATTTTTGTCTCCTTTACATATGCATGCCTTATAAATATGTTTGCAATTTTGTTTACACTGAACAATCTCCATAATTGTTAGAGGCAGAAACACAAAACTTTCCACAGATGCTACCAATTCCTCAACTTAAGTAATTGGGTTACTCAAAATTAGTTTCCTCAGACCCCAGTTGAGCCCTCTGGTAATTAGCTTTTAGTACTGTGTTATCACTATAGGGACGTGGTGGCACTGTGGGCTAAATCACAGAAGCCTGTGGTGCCGGGTCAGAAGACCAGCAGTCGTAAGATCGAATCCATGCGATGGAGTGAGCGCCCGTCGCTTGCCCCAGCTCCCACCAACCTAGTGGTTCGAAAGCATATAAATGCAAGTAGATAAATACGGACCACCTCAGTGGGAAGGTAACAGCATTCCGTGTCTAAGTCGCACTGGCCACGTGACCACGGAAGATTGTCTTCGGACAAAACGCTGGGTCTATGGCTTGGAAACGGGGATGAGCACCGCCCCCTAAAGTTGAACACGACTGGACAAAAACATTGTCAAGGGGAACCTTTACCTTTTTACTGTGTTATCACACACATTCTCTGGACTCTTCTGCAGAGCATGTCATATTCACTGTAAGGAAATTTCCCTATTGCTACAAACAAAGTAGGCATCAATATTTTAGGAAGAATTTTTTCTTGTTCTGAATGATCTCCAAAACAGTAGCAAAAACTTATAATTTTATAAATATGCATATATCTGAATTTGTTTTATCTTGAAATCAGTTTCCCTAAGGCTTCAGTGAGGCCCATTGATAATTAGCTCACAGACATCAGGTGGACTCTTCTATTAAGTACAGGTATTTTCATAGGAACTTCACCTATGAGATACTTTCCCTCTGGCTATGAACTAAACAGTTCTTTTACCATCTGCCAGGTTTCTTTCTTTTGCTTTATCATACAACAGCCAATAGTCTAATCAATATTTTAACTGATTGGCCTGGATAATGATACGCTATGATTAAAATTTTTTGCAAACAATGCAATTATAATTATATGCCATTAAGCTGATTATTGTGACCCCTTCCAGGTTTTGTATACACAAAATACTAGAAATGATTTACCATTCCCTTCTTCTGGAGGCACATGTTGGGCTGTGCAGATTGCCCAAGTCTACAAAGGCTGACTCTTCTTCTAGAAGACACAGTGCAGAGATGGAAACTCAAGTCGTGAAATCCGCTGTCAAGTCGGACTTACGTTGCACTGGTGACTCAACATAGACTTCACTTGAGGTTTTTTTCCCCAATGAATCAGACTCAACTTGTGACTCAGAACGCACCCACCCTAACTTTTTTTTTGGGGGGGGCTTGTTTTTAATACAGACTCAGACTTGAGGCTTGAGATTCAGGCCTTAGTACCAAAGACTTGGACTTGGACTTTGAACTTAGACCCAAAGACTTGCCAACATCCCTGGCACAGTGGCCAATCACACTCCTTGTTTGATCCTCCTTAGTATTTGTATACGCACACTGTTGTTAGCTTTAAATAAAGTATTTTAATCATGCAAGCTGCCTTAGGTCTTTTTAAAGGAGAAAAGCAGAATATTTTTTAAAATTGTAGCCATATATATAATTAAGGGTGAGCAACAACAAAGGGTTAAGGGTACGAACTAAAATGACATATACAGAAGACCAGACCCTCCAAATTCTAATAATGTGGCAGGTCCCTTGCAGCAAAAAGGGGGATCGGGCAGACCCATTGTGTCCGAAAAAGAAACGCAAATCCCCAACAGGACAAATCTTCTAATCAAACACCAGGCCCATCACCTTAAATCTATAACTGTGTCTGAACATGTGAAACATCTCTAAGTGAAACATAAACTGAAAAAGTCACAAGAAAATACTATGCCTATGATGCCATCTGATTGCAAACACAGTGCATAAGAGCAGATTATTTCAGAGTTCTACCATTCCTTCTCCTCCCCTTTGTGTCTGCATATAAATACTTCCGTGAGTGTTTGTGCAAGTCTATGAAAGACACCAACATCCCATGCAGCAATCTCTTCATACACATGGAAAGCCAGTGTTTTGTAGTGGCTAAGACTCAGAGCTGTTGCTAGACAAGAACCTGGGAGACCTAATTTCACTTAGCCTTGAAGCTCACTGGCTGACTTTGAGCCAATCACACTGTCTCAACTAAATGTTATAAATGAAAATATATAAACAGGATTTTCATGCTCTTCTAAATGGAAGATATAAGGCAGGAGAAAGATGGTTTTACTGGGTGCTGTGGAAATCGTCTGTAATCAGGTGCTTGGACTGGTTTATGCTCTGTATTTACCAGCATGCATATAAGAGTAAGCAAGGGATGCAGCTACTTGTGATGAAATTTCAGATAAAGCTGAGAATAAAATGAAGAAAAAAAAAAAGATGAGAAGCATCTGTTATGTTATATACTTACGCTATAAAATGGTCATCATTTAAGGAGGGACAATAGAGCTGAAGAACTTTTCGAAAATTATTCCTGCTAACGATACCATTATTTCGGGGGTCACACGCCTCCAAAGCTTTGCTAAATTCAACCCAGTATCCTCTGATTTGCTCAGTTAGGACATCTTCTGCCTGATATGCAACAATTTTGACAGGGATATTGTCAAGCATTTAGAAACAATTGTATGAACACATTCAAATAAATTTTAAAAATCTTTGATTTATAAAGAACAGCTTTGTATTACTTACAATTTTCCAAGCTTCAAGAACAGAAGTTGGCTTTCTGGCTTTTTTTGAACCATTAATCCATTTGGAATCTGTCTAATTGAATAAAATATATTTGAATTAAATCTTTGTGGCATACAAGGTCAGTTTCAGGTTATTATGGTCAAAGATCAGAAAATTAAACAGAAGTATACAAAAATACGGTACACATTTTAAGAAGATACTGCAATAAATTGGAAGCATTTACATTAAAACTGAATTAGTCCTTACTGTGTGGCCATTGATTGACTCATAAATCTTAAAATCTTTTTTCAAAACTTAAAAGGGCTTTACGGGTTTTACAGGCTGCTGCCAGAAAACTAGCACACTTCTTTATCAGTGGATTGGATCCTGTAAGCAGCAGCTTGGCCCTTTCTGCATCCATGAGGCCCGACATTTTCCCGGTTAAGGGTGAGATATATTTATCCCGTATGCCCTGGTAATATAAGCACTGGAACAGAAAGTGCTCCGTTAACTCAATCTCCCCCAAGCCACATGGGCATACCTGTTCTGAAAGGGGTATCCTTTTAAATCAATCTTTGAGTGAGGCCAAGGGGAGCACTCCCCATCTAGCTAAAAAGAAGGCCCTCCTCTGTTGTGGGGTTGCTAATAATGAAAGGTATGTAGCTTGCTCAGCCACATACTTATTATCTTCCACAGCTAAGAAGTTGGGGCATTGATTAATATCACTCTGGCTCTCTGTGTCCATTACTCTTTGTCTCAGAGCAGGTTTTGCTTGATTTATATCCATAGCCAGAACGGCCTCTGGGGAAAATCCCAGGTATCTCAGCTTTGCTTGTACCATCTTAGACCAGGAAGACTGGAAGTTGTCACGTAGGACCAAGGATGCTAAATCTGATGTTGTGTGATTAAGCCAGAGGTTGGCGGGGGGAAGTAGGACTCTGGCCTCAATTTTTATCATCCCTGTCTCCAATCATAGACTAGGATTGGATGCATAACTGGAGACCTGGAAGATGGACCTTAGGAATTTTGATTGAACTTGTTACAATGGAGCAAAGCTAGTGGAAGGAGAGCCCAGTAAAGTCCCATATAATAGTTGGGGAAGGGATTTGGCTTGGTATAATTTAATTACCGCAGGGATGTAATGGCCACCTTTAATTCATGTGAACCTTGTGACAGCTTGGGCTGACTGATGGCAAACTGAAGCTACATGTTTATGGTGGGCTGTCCGTGCCCCAGTTGAATGCAGCATAACCCCCAGGTATTTATGAGCAGATACCTGTTCAATCCTGTGTCCATTAATTCACCTTGGCTGCTTGGATTAGTTGGTACCATGATACCATTACATCAGCTTTCTTCTTCCTAGCCACCACTTTTTTATATAATTTTTTTCAGCTCTAAGATGTGTAGCCGAAATTGAGGGGTGTCGCAACTAGGAACCATTTGGTAGATCTGGTATGCAGAGTTAAGTGCCCGTTTGGCTTCCAGACAGTCCCTATCGCACAACCCTTGGGAATACCTAGCTGCATGGTTACCTTGATTTCTTTTCTGCGTTACTAAAAGGGGTTTCAGACCCTGTATTAATTGCATGTAGGGGAGCACGAAATCTGGACCTGTGGTGTTATTTATGATGGCACTACGACATGAGGCCATGCATTCTCTTGCCAGCATTTCCTTGGGTCTTTTTTTCAAGGAAGGGGGTCCATTTGGCCCTACACCCCTCCTGACTGGAGGGTTCGATGTTTATTTTGGGCAGCTTTTTAAGATGGACTGAGTGGGAGTCTAAGCCCATATTAAAAAGAAGAGGTAAGTGATCACTCTCCAGGTCTGGAAGGCCTATGTGGTCTGTTAAACACGGCTTAGCTTTCTAAGTTATAAATCTCTGCCTTGTTTATACATGTAGTAATAGTTAATGATGGGATGACGGATCAAATAGCTCTAGGACGAGGTACTAGACAAGGTTGCTCTCTCTCTCCAGTTCTGTTTTGCTTGGTTATTGAAATGTTGGCAAATGTAATTAGGAATGATGACTTAATTGAAGGTATGGGAGAAAAGAAGACAAAGATTACTTTATTTGCAGATGATTCCTTATTGACAGTGAAAAATCCATTAGAATGTATAGATAAAATTAAAACACACTTAGAAAAATTTGGAAAAATAACCGGATTAAACATAAATTGGCAAAAATCTGACTTAATGTTGTTTAATTATAGTAGAATAGAACAAGAAATGTTTGCTGAAAAACACGATTTTAAAATATGTAAAACAATTAAATATTTAGGGATAGATTTAGCGAAAAATATTCAAAAAATAAAGGAGTATAATTATAACAAACTAAAGGAAGTAATTAATAAGAAATTACAAGAATATGATAAATTTATGTTATCTTGGTTTGGAAAGACTGCATTGGTAAAAATGAAAATTTTACCAAAAATTAATTTTCTATTTAGAATGTTACCAATGCAGTTAACAGAGGATGATTTGAAATATTGGCAAGGAATAGTTAACAAATATTGTAATGAAGGGAAGAAATCTAGAATAAATAAAAAGTATTGGTATAGAACAACAAAAAAGGTGGTATAGGTTTACCAAATATAAGAAACTATTATTTAGCTAACCAACTGAGGTTTATTGGTGAAATTATATATAAAACGGAAAGGTTAATTTGGTGGAAAATGGAATCATCAGAATTACAAGGAAATATAGAAAAATATTTATTTGCTAAAGATAAGAAAGATAAAATAAGTCAAGTTAATAATCCTTTTTTAAAGACATTGTTAAATATATTGTATAAGTATAAAAAGAATTTATGTTCATCATGCTCTCCATTTGGATTAGTGACAGAAATAGAAAATTTTCCTACCA